ACTGTCAGCTGGGGGAAACAGGAACCAAGGAAGCAGGATATGGCCTGGGTTGGGTAACTCCGCCCCTAACCACAACTGGTAGAAGAAAGTGAACTCACAAACTTGCAGATGTTGGCGCAGAACGGCTCTCATAGTAATTTCAGGAAAAGAGGTATACAGCTTATTGTCCAGTCAAAGGGGGGGTAATGTTGAGAATTTATATGATTGAATGACAAGTCACTATTTTGACCATGCGGAGCAGTTGAGGAATTCTGCCAAAGGATCAATGGGCAGAATCCGCCAAAAATGATTCAGAACTATAAGGGATTGGTCGCTTTAGGATAAGGCGAGGGGTGGAAGGCGAGTAGGTAAGGGTGTACGGCTACCAACCTGAAGGTTGCAGGTTCGATTCCTGCCCTTTGCACATCGATCAGGGTGCCAGCCAAAGGAAGCTATTGGCGGTTAGTAGGTCTAATAACACGAAAACCTTACCTATGACGTAACCAGAAAAATTTGAGTCTCAATCTGGAGGTGGAAAAACTTTCTTCGATGGAGTTGACCCTGTTCAGGTTTCATGTCATTTCTTCCTTTTGGTAATGCCTGTCCCCTGGTCAGCTTGCCTTGGTTAAATAAAAATAGGATAAGGCGATAATGGGTCATAATGGGTCTTATCAGGTTGCCTATAAAATAGGGCAATAAGGTGATGTCAACATTTGATGAAAGGGTTTTAGATCGCCTTGAATCAAGGCAATAAATAATTTAAGAATAACATGCTGAAACCAATAAAAAGATAGTGACATAAATAAACTAAGTGGAAGAGCCAGTACTGGAAGAGGCTGCTGGGATATCAGTGAAACAAGGGGACTGGAGGTGTTATCTTGGATTAAGCAAAGAAAGAAGAAAGAGTAAGAGAGCGGACAAAGGAAGGATCCTCTGAAGATGTATTTTTAATAAAGAAGTGATTGGGAGATTGCTCCCATGTTTATTATAAATTTTTTTTTGTTAAAAGTGTATTGAGGAGCCGGAGATCATCATATCAACCATTCTAATTGTTCAATGGGGGAAACCCTGTATAAAAAACCCTTTAGCGGGTACATACTGAATCGCCAAGATTCAACACTATTAAAAATAACAAAGTTTCAGGTGCACCTTTGAGCCGCTCAGGTACCCTCCAGATTGAAGCACACAAGCCTCCTAGCACCGATTTACACTTAGTTTTGTTGTTTTTGGCTTACCTGGTATTGTATACCGCGCTTTACACCCTTGCCTTGGGTCCCTTATGTACTGGCACCATTCGTGGTGCCTTGTTTACCATACTGAATGGCTAGTTCCCTATAAATATGGGTTTGCATCCCACACCACCTTGCTGGGAATGTGAGAGTTACAGACACTCTCTTGACATATATGATAACTGACATTATGCACTATGAAATCAATTAAGCTCCAATTTTGGAGAAATTAATCTAAAAATTAATGGGATAAGCTCTTTAGAGAAGAATTAAGAATGATATGAGCCAAGAGGTTATGAGAAGAAAATAACAAAGGTGAACATAAATGAGCATTCTTAATTGGTTCACAAAACAAAGATTGACAGCAGAATCTCCTGTCAAGGATGAGGAGAAAATAAGGAAATTGAGGATGCCAGACCAAGAATCCTGAATATGACAGTGGTTCATATGCCCTGATGGGGGGAAAACCAGATCCCAGGATTAATATTTTCATGAGTAAATCAATCATCCCGCCATGACAGAAGGTCATGGGGATCACACTCTGAGTAGGTGGTAGTGAGGAGGAAGTGGAAGAGAGCCTCATGCCAAAGATTATCTCAAGCAGTGTTGAGTACTGGTGATTGTACTCCGCTTGAGCAAATGAAGTATTCAATGAAGCGTTTGAAGTGGCGTTCTCCTTCCCTGATCCTTTTCTCACTGGAAATCTAGGCAAGAGGGGGGATGTGTTGGGATTTTTTCCCATATTTCCAAGCTGGCTAGATTACCAGAGATCACTAGGGAATAAATCCCTAATGTGAAATGAATTGGATATAAGTTGACCCTGATCCAGGCTAAATATGTTCAGGGGATTTTAGGTTACTCACCTGATCAAATATGTCAGGGATCAATCTGGATGAATGCTTAAGATCTAATCGGGAAGAGTTGCTGACGAGAAGGGTCATCTGATAGTTGATTAACTATCAGGTGTACCAATTAAGATCAATCAGGTTTTATCACCAACTGATTAGGAATTTAAGGAGTAAGTTGCGAAGCAAGTGATGCTGCATGCAACTAGCAAATTAATCAGTTGGTTTGTGACCTGACTTAATGGGTAACAAGTCCCATTACCTAAGCAGGTCACTTGCCAATTATAGTTTGTTCACTTGGATTGAGAGGAAAACTTTAGGGACACGTCTTCTGACTCTTTCTTTTTTAGGTCTTGAGGATGTCCAACAACGGAATCCTATCCAGGATGGGGAAAGCCATCGGTGTTGAGATGAGGATGGGAAATTAATGGCAACAGCTGCCATTTCATCAAAGAGGTGCCAAATGAGGGTTGGGCACCAAATTCACTACTTTAAATTCCCTAAATAATTTACTAATAAAAAATTATAACTTTACCAAAACATAAATTACCAGATCACTTTTACTAGAGTATTGGCTTAGTAAACTTTATCAGAATCCATTTATTCTATTCTTTCTCAGGGAGATTATTGCTGTGTGTGATAATTGGGAGACTCTTTAAGATAAAGAGTAAGGATTTGAGTGGGGATCCAGAGAAGAAGCTGAATCAAATCAGAGATTGCTGCTGACTGTATGTCAAACCAGAGAAGCTGTAAACAGGGATCTAAGAGTAGATTGAGTTAGGCAGTAGGAGGGAATGAATCCCTATTCAGGACATCATAAGTATTTTGAGAGGAAATACTGGCTGAGTGTTGGACCAAAATCCAATGCTTCCATTCAACTATGGTTAATAGTCACCATACTATTATCAAATGATTATATCAACTACTATTATATAATGTGGAGAATTGCACAAAACACGAACCTGTGCAAGAAAATATTTATAGGATTATTGGCTTAGAATAATTAGAAAACCTATAAATAATTACAGGGTGCATTGGGGTTGACCTTTGAAACTCAGCAATCGACTCTTGGCAGTTTTAGTAATCCTTGTATGAAACCCAACTATCTTTATAGAAAAGAACTCTTTTCATGATACCAAGTACTGAAAACTGCATTTGGCTCTCTGAGAGTTTAAGACTCAATCCAATTTAAACTCTGCTGCCCCCTATACCATGGTGGTCTCTACTTCCACAGGCAACTGTCCTTTGAATGGTAATAAGGAGAAGGCATAAAAAAGTTGTTTATTTTCCAGTGGGAGGGCAGACTCACGTGAAATGATCCATTTTTCAGCACTTGGGAGGTAGGGAAGGCGAATGTCTGCTTACAGACCAACTTACAGCATAGCTTTTTGTGGTGCAAATTTTTTGGTATCAACAATGTTTAAATCACCTACTTGAAAGTCTGGGGCCTCACGGCGTTTTTTATCAGCAAATCGTTTGTCTTCATTAGTTGGTTTGGTCAACTGCTGTTGAATCTAGTGGTGCATCTTCTAAATATGTTTAACAAAGTTGTCTGCAGCCAGGATATCACTGCAGATTTTTTGCCCAAGGGTGAAGGCAGGGCTATACCCCAAGTTAGCATACATTTTTGATCCCTGTGGAGGCGTGCAAGAATTTATTGAATGAAAAGTGAGCCAGGGTTATCTGTTGCCCAAGTGTCCTGGGAGCTAGTGGCATAGCATTGTAGATAATTCTCTAAGGACTGATTAGTTCAATCAGTTTGGCCATCTGATTGAGGGTGGTACGCTGATGATCTGCTGGGTTGATCTTCAGCATGTCACACAAAGACTCCAAAAATCTTGAGGTGAACTGAGGACCTCTGTCACTGGTTGCCTCCTGAGGCAAACCAAAAGAAAGAAAGTACATGGGACACAAACATTCATGCCATCTCTTCTGCAGAGATAGTTGTCAAGAAGTGGTTGAAGATTGCATACTTTGTAAAGTGGTCCACCACCACCACCATAACCACATCATACCCCTGGGACACCGGCAAACCAACAATAAAGTCTACCAAAATTAAGATCCATGGACCTATCACCTGTTGGAGAGAGTAAAGGATCGCATTTTAACCTGTTCAATCAGATTTGGAGTGGGCACATGTTAAAAAGCCTTCAATCCACATAGGGACATCCTTTGTAGTCCATTCCAAATATAATCAAACTTTATTAAGTTAATGCATTTCTTCACGCCTGGGTGTCCCATGGTGGGGGATCATGATGGTCCCTTATGATGAGGGAACGCAGCTCTAAAGGAACCCAAAAATTTGTCATAAAAATGAAATTACCCCACTCTTTTGGGATTACCATCCAGATGGGGCCTTAACACCCACAATCTTAGACATAAGGTCAAGACCTTTGGAGTCAGCTGCTTGCAAAATCAACATATCATCCAAGAAAGAACTTTCTTTTGTGAAAGAAGTTTGAGCGAGCGTGCTTGGCTCTATTTCAGATTCAGGATCAGTAGTGGGGCGGTGCTTCTGTTTTGATTTTGATTTAGAATCGGAATTAGTTTAGGGTTTGAGAATTGGAATAAAGGAAGCTACCTGTCAGGGACTGGTGTACTTATGACCTGACTGAGGGTAGCTAACCGTGAGCTAGCATAACCAAAGGGCTTGATCCAGTATGACAAGGACGCTAGAGGTATCCAGGTATAAGGAATGGTGGATAAGCTGGTATGGGAGTTGCCTAAAGATATGATTTTAAGAGGTGAAATTTGGAAGGGAGCTTCTTGTAGGCTGGGGAGGTAGATCGAAATATAACACTTTAATAAATAAATTTAATAGTGTTTGCATGATAAAATAAAATTTTAGGAAATGGAACTGTAGGGTAAGTCATAGATGTGTGGTTGGCCACAACCTCTGTCTGCATCTTACTGGGTCCTACTGCTTCTATATAAGCTATTCCATAATTCTTTGCTGGGGAAAACATCCGCACCAGAAATTGGTAACTTACCATCAATAAAATAGATACCAAAGCTCCCAATAATAAACACGGTGGAATTTTCATAATAAATTTTGGCGCAGTCAAATTTTCAGGGACTCAAAGACTAGAGTACCACGATCCTGGTTGGGGGTAGCTAACATGAGCTAGCATAACCAAGGGTTTGGATCTAGTATGACCAGGACACTAAATGCATCCCAATAGAAGAAATAGTGGGTTTACTAGTATGGTAGTTGCCATCAGATATGATTTTAGGAAAGGAAAGGTGGAAGGGAGTTCCTTGAAGTTTGTAAGGACATCCAGATGATTGTTTGCTCGCTGGTGCTGGACGCCGCTGGATTCCTCAACCAATTTATTTAATAAAAGCTAAAA